CTGAACCCGTCTAGGCAGGTTCAAAGGGATATTTTTGGCCGAGCCTACGCCGAGCCGAGAAATCCACTTTAAACTCGGCCTTGTGCCACATATATTCCTCGTGGGTGGAATATTAAATACTGAGATACGTTGAGATACGTGGAGATACATTGAGACAAGTTGAGAGATCCGGAGACAGACACAGGGTGTTTTCAGAGAGTTATACAAGAGTTCAGAGAGAGAGAGATGATTACGGCTTTACTTACAGAAACTTGTACATATACTTTGTACTAACCCGCATTCCTGGACTACTAATCTTCACTTCAAGTCTGTATTCTTACGTTTAATACACTTATTTTTCTATCTCAATTAATGGCGTTGGTTATTTATTTGTGCAGGATTCCATCCTCGGAATCCACAACATTTAGGTAGGTTGCTTGGTGTTTATTTCTCTCCTTCTCGCCTCAAGATTTACTTTCCTCATTATCGAAGAAATTTCAATAGTCTCTTTCTGATTCTAAATATAAGTGTCCTTTTTGTTTCCATTTTCTTCCCAATATCCTCGTTACTCATATACGCCATCCATGCTATTCTCAGTATCCTTCTGTAGAATCACATCTCTGACCTTGTGGAATCAGGAGATGCCGTTTGGTAGATTACTTTCCATGGTAGTTGCGATAGACCATTGAAAGACAGGCAAAATTCTGCCCGTTTGAGCGAGAGATTGGAGGGTGGAAAATAATTCTTCTCCCACAAGGACTCGGAGACGCTTTTGAACTCTGTCAAAACTTTGAAAATATGTCTGGGCAGCTCTTGCCGAAATAGGGTAAACATACACCATTTTGGGGTCTGATCTGGCTCTTATAACGGTAGAGGAAAGCATAAGCACTCAAATACTTACTGGAGCGGTGGAAAGAACCGATCATTTTACCTGCATCTTTAGTGATGCATCGTGCAGAGGAATCCCACTTGAGTTCTGGTGTGAGTTTGAACCCAATATCCTCTTGAGTCACGTGGCTTCCTCGAGGGGACATTTGTTGCTTACTTCCTCTCTTGATTCTTGTCGATCATCTCAAATCTGTCCCCTCGGAACCTAATATATTGCTCGATAATGATAATCTGCTTGAAAATGGTTGTTTTCTTGTACCTCTCCAGTACATAACTGCCAAGCCCTCTTTATACAAGAGTCAGATAAGACCAAAAATTATGTATTGCTATCATATCTGCGCTGATCCTTTCCAATTCTCAATGACAGCGTTTACACCGCCTTGTAGGCGTTTAATTACACTCTTGTGCAAATTGATTGAAACGAGCGATTTAGTTTCCTTTCTTTACCATACGGTCAGTTTAAGACCCTCTGTAATGACAGAGTGTAATCGATTTCTATTTTTTCTTCAGATTAGGCCATTTTCAGTGGTGTGCAATAATAAAAATCTATTTTAGGGGTCTATGATGAAATTTGGTTGGCCTTGAAAAATATTGCGTGATCCGTACGCAAAGATAATATTGTCTCGACTGTCGATTAGTTGTCGTACGGCCATTGTCTGCTATGAACGTTATTCTAAACAAGCGTACGAAAATTGTAATGCTGCACGAAAACACTGACAATCCTTACCAGTGAACAAATTAAAATACTATCGACTGGCTCAGAAAGTCTCCTGACTTAAATCCAATCGAGCATTTGTGGTCAGCCTGCAAGAAATGACTTCGTGGAATGGAGATACGATGTACTAACATTGGGCAACTCGAGGCGGTGTATGGTTAGAAAGCTTGTCTCGCAAGAACAATTACGATTGAGAAGTGAGTTCGATCCTATCTGGGTTTCCCTTACTTTCGGCCTTGTGCCTCATCTAAGCTACGCTTGGAAAATCACTATTTGGCACGTGGTGTAATGGTTAACGAGCTTGTCTCGCTAGACCAATTAAAACTGAATGGTGAGTTCGACTCTTACTGGGTACCCCATACTTTCGGCGTTGTGCCACATCTAAGCTACACTTAGAAAAATATTTTAAGGGCACCTCAGCGTGTTGTAATGGTTAGCAAACTTGCCTCGCTAGAACAATTACGACTGAGTAGTGAGTTCGATACTCACTGGGTGCCCCATACTTTCGGCCTTTTGCCACATCTAAACTACGCTTGGAAAATCAATATGGGACATCTCGGCGTGTTGTAATGGTTAGCAAGCTTGTCTCGCTAGATTAGCTACGACTGAAAAGTGAGTTCAATCCTCACTAGTTGCTCCATACTATCGACCTTGTGTTACACCTAAGCTTCACTTAGAAAATAACAATATTTAGGGGCACCTCGAGGCGGTGCAATGGTTAGCAAGCTGGTCTCTCTAGAATAATTTCGAGCTCCTTTCTTTCGGTCTTGTGTCATATCTATGCTATGCTTGGAAAATCGCTACGAAGTACTGACATGTGCACTGGGTCATGTTTCATTGAAAAAATACGAAAAAAGAGTAAATAATGGAATTGTTCGTTTTGTTTCAATTAATTTGCACAAGGGCGTACCTACAGTCTTTTTTCGTTACGTCACTAGCCTATCACTTTACTTTTGCATAGAAAAAGTTTAAACGATCTTTGCTGGTTAATTGGTCAAACCCAAACTCAAACAAAGGCGTTGTTTTCAATCGTTACGAGTCTATCCCTTATCAATTTGCCCGTCATGCAGCATATAAAATGTGGACTCATCTTCGTTAACTTCGTATTTCAACTGATAAGAAAGAAGGTATCAGACAGCTTTTTAGAAAACCACAGGGTACTTCCCTGGATTCTGCAATCTTAACCTCTTCGATTTTACGATCAACAGTATCCGACATATTCTAAAATCTGAACTTTCTCTGTTTCGTCCATACAACAGCCTCAATCAGTAACCCTCTACCTTGAGTGACTCTTGGGCCTTGTATTCTGTTTTAAAAAAATCACACACCTTCTTCATGTCGAACGTTTTCGTTGGGGAGGAAGCCAAATAAATCTGAGTAATCCTATCTGTCTTCTTACATTGATATTTTCGCTATCTGATACCTCGCCACGCACTTGCCTTCCACTATTACAATATATCTTCCACCTGCGACAGTTCAGCTAATCGCTTTCTGATTCCCGCCGGCAAAAATCGAAGTTTATTTCCGGTAAAGGTGGGAAAGAAAGAACAGTTTACCCTCTCACACACTGCACCTTTGTTTTATAACTTAATGGACGACTTTCACACCCTAAGAATATTTCTGCATCCTCCTGTTTTCACCGCAGAGCTCTTGTTTCTAAAAAGTGCACAGAATTATATTTACTCCATTGAATCTATTTCCAAGTGAAATTATGCAAGTTTTAGATTAATTAAATGTCCATTCGCCATGACGTCTACTGTCACCAAATATTTGTTGCGTATCCTAGTTACTTTTCTCCAGTACTAAGATGAGACACATGGTAGGTCTAACCTGAGATGTCCGTACACATACATAAGGGTCAGGTACAAGCTTGATTCGCTAGAACAATTACGACTGAGTAGTGAGTTCGATCCTCACTCGGCGCCTCACTCTTTCGGACTTGTGCCACATCTAAGCTACGGTTAGAAAACGTAGTGTAGCGATTTTCCAAGCGTAGCTTAGATGTGGCACACTGAGGAGCGATCTCACGACACAGTCGTAATTGTTCTAGCGAGGCAAGCTCGCTAACCATTACACCGCCTCGAAGTGCCCCACCTCCACCTAGTGTAATCTTACTTATTATAAAACGTAGATTTTTATGTATGTGTGTGTGTGTGTGTGTGTGTGTGTGTGTGTGTGTGTGTGTGTGTGTGTGTGTGTGTGTGTGTGTACGTTTATATATTGGATCGGATTTCCTACATTTTTCAACCGATTTCAACAAAACTTCACAGGACTTCGTAAAATTACCTTGCCGTGGTTCTGATAGCGCCAAAAATTGGAAAAACACAATTGTTTTTGCACGAAATCAATTTGAAAACACGATAAAGCACGATTCTGTCGCCAGAATGAAAGGGGGACAACTCATATCGAGTTATACTTATTATAAAACCCAGGTTGTTTGCGTGTGTGTGTGTGTGTTAGTTTATATATGGGATCGGATTTCCTACATTTTTCAACCGATTTCAACAAAACTTCACTTTTTTTGGCAGGAAGTGTTTCTTATCGTCTTGCACACTTTTTTCTTTATTTTTACATTCAGAATGCTTTAAAAATTCCATTTACAAGACAATTGTTTATAATAAAATTCTATTCAATCGATAGACTTGTAACGATTGAAAACAATGTTTTTGTAGGAGTTTGGGTTTCACCAATTCGTAAAAAAAAAAAAAACTAATTAAGACATGCGTGTCCGTCAACCTTAAACAATAATCTTTGTCAATTTTATTTTTCAGTCTTTATGATGGTCGATACTTGATCTATCTCTTAATGTTACATCACCGGGCAACGCCGGGTTCTACTGCTAGTGGTTAATAAGCTTGTCTCGCTAAAACAATTAAAATTGAGTAGTAAGTGCGATCTTCATACTTTCGGTCTTATGCTATATCTAAGCTACGTTTATACTACCATTCGTCCATACTTAGACTATTGCTGCCACATATAGCCCGGGGCTTCAGGTATTTACCTTGAGTCCTTGATAAAATCCAAAGAAGAATCATCAATATTATCTGTCCTGATCTGGCGGTTCGGTTTAAGTCACTTTCCCACCGCCATTAGGTTGCCACCCTATGTCTTTCACTATAAATACTTTCATGGTAATTGTTCCGATCAAATCTTCGTTATGGTACCTAGACTTTTTAAATTTAAGTGAAGTATTATACTGACAATGAGGTCTCATCAATTTGCAGTTGCGCTGGCTAGATGTAGCCATAAGTTCTATGCTAACAATTTATTTTCTCGCTTGTGAATCTCGCTTCCGGCTCCATGCTTTCCAGCCAAATTTAATCTGCAAAAATTTTAATGCAAGTAATGAGGTGTGAATCAAAACTAAAGCCCTCTCTGAACAGTGTTTGGCTATTTTTCAAAAATCCAGAGATTTCACCTGAGCCACCCAGAGCTTCGGGGAGGAGTCCTTTGCTGCTGTTTTTGTTGCAGCTGTTTTTGCTTCTTTTGCTGCTGCTCTTGTTTCTGCAGATGTTGTTGTTGCTATAGTTACTGCTGTCAATCCACCTCTGGCCACTCCTCGTACAGCTGTAGGGCATCCTGTTAGGGAGGAGGAGTTGCCATTTTTTGTCCTCTCCTCACAATCTCTTTCCTCTTCCTCAGACATTTTCTAAGCGGATTCCCTTAAATGCAGACCAGGTGGAAATTTCCAAGTGGCTACTTCTATGCTACCAGTGCCGAGGTCGGACGTAATCCATTCGTCAGTGAAAATACTCTCCTCCTGATTACTCTTTTCTCTTCCCGCTCATTATTAACGTTTCTTTTCCTAATTCTTTCACACCTAGTAAGCCCCTGTGTCTTCGTGGCTTTACTGCCTTGCATGGAGTGAAACCAATTTTTAAAAAATTGATCGTTGTCACGCAAACGTGTGTGTATTCCGACTCCGTCCTCTTAAGACTAATGACGGGGATACTGCTACAAGTTTGAAACCACTTTGACTCGGTTTCCCCTCATTGCTTTTACCGTGTACAACCCGGACGAAGAAAGACGGTAGAGAGAATTTTAAACAGTATACTACTCTTTGATCCAATATTTACTCGATCTCCACGGCGTCATGATGTGACTGTGGACGTTTTTAATGTAGATTGCCCATAGCCATACATATGGGTTGAGGCAAAAAATTGCCTAATTCCCACGACCACAGTCACACCAGCATTGGTATCCACCAACCCAGCCTTTTTGTGCAATGAGGGAGGTGGTGTCGTAATTCTGAAATCCCCGGAACCAGGCGTCAATTCAAAGATGTTTCCATAAATTGTCCGAAGAAAGCTGAAGAACAGATAATACACTTTTAGCCTAGCGCAAATGAAGTGAAATTTATTTTTTCCCACCCCCACCTACGGGATGTTGTACTCTGATAAAGGACAAACTGTACAGTCCTGGCGACTACTGTGATGCTGGCATTGGTAACTAAGAAGCTTTGTTGTTTCATGCTCTTGATTTATGGAGAAAACCAGAGAGGGACCTTACTGTGAATGCATAACTCGTCACACTTTCTTGGGGTAACTGATTCAGCAATCGGACAACATTGGGTAAATACAGGGTTCGATGGTTAAATTGTCGCCATTTTATAGATTTAATTCCACTTTTTTTTTATTTTGTCGACTGCACAGCATAGTAGGGTCAGTTGGGCACCTTCTGTGAGAAAAAGAGTACCATGACGTAATTCGCTGCGCCAGAAATTTGGAAGCGGCATGCTGTACTGTTTGGCAATCACTCCGGAAGCACCAGTATTGTCAATTAATAAGGATCTCCAGTTACTGCAATTTTCAACTTTAATTTTGTATATTCTCCTTGTCAAGATACTTGTATGGGGTTAAGTGAAAAATTATCAGCACTTTCGTCAAAAGATAGTTTTTTAACATTCCCTCATATAACTTTGTAGTTTTTGTTTGTATTTCTGAGATGAGGTATTATGTACACTATTTACATTATTCGGACTATTGTCCTCATCTTTGTCGCCATATTTATTACAACGATTTGGCCGTTGTACGCTCTAGCCTTCTTCAGTTGGTTGGAATGTCGAACTGAATCCTTTATTTCGCTCGCTGGGGTAGACTGTTCTAGTTCCACGTGCCATGTTAAATGGATGTCAGTTATCAGTTATCTCTTGTTAATTCCCCTCTCCAAGTTCTCCACTGGCTTAACCAGGTATTGAACTCACTCTTTGGGTCCTGTCACTGGATCTAACCAACACCTTTATCCACTGTGTCCTTTGCCTACAAAGATGACGATAATAGTCTGAATAATGTAAATGGTAAACTTTGTAGTTTGCTATTTGTAACTCATATTGCATGTATCAAAGGAGCATTTCAACGTGATGTAGTAGTTTGGAAGCTTGTCTCGCTCGATCAATTATAACTGAATCGTGAGTTCGATCCTCATATCGTGCCTTATAATTGCGGTCTTGTTCCACGTCTAAGCTAAGCTTAGGAAACCATATTGCAACATCTAAGCTATGCTTAGAAAATCACCATACTGCATATATCATAGTTTAGCAGGAGGGACAGACGCAAACAGCGAATATCCTAACTAGCAACATTGTATGACTGGATAGCTGAACGGTAAAAAATAAGAATAATAAAAATTCAGACATTGCTTAGAGTTAAAAGGGAGAGTAAGTTTTGGAGAACTTGATTGCACACGTCCTGAAGGAACACGGCACCTACAAGAAGATCAGCGGCCCTTTACCTGGTCTCAGGATCTGGGATCAAAGTGAAGTTTAATTATTTCACCTGTCTTTTTGGACATGTTTTTAATTTCGAGCAGTTCACCGAAACGGTTTTGAGACTTTCCTCGTTGTATTAAAAGACGGGTGGTCTGTCGAATGTCAATGCAAACGTGACAGTGTCAAACCGACGTTTAAAATTATCTTGTGTTGCGTCTTGCTACTCTGGGAAAGAGAGTCAATATACTCGGCCTTGGTGGTATTAAAGTGAAATATATGTCCACGGATAGAACTTTGAGAAATGCCTGGTCGCAGAGATTCCAAACCTGCGGCACTAAAAAAAAGGAAGGTTTGATAACATCAAAGGCCCTGGCAATATTTGGGTTGGTTGATGGCAACCAAACGTGAAAATAAACCTTGTGTCAAATCTTTCCACGGTAAACTAGTGTTGGGATATGCTCTCTCTTCCTCTTCAAATTCTAGAGGAGGTCAGTTACCGAGGATTCTAACTTCCTCTTTGCATGCCGAAGTCAGTATAACAGTGGTAATTTTTACCATTACCCTGGATGCACAGCTCCTCCCCTTACGGTAGAAGGTGGGTAATTAGCTGACAAGGGTTTCTTTACACGGTCTTCATACAGGGATCATTAAACTGATCGTCTGTTCTCCTACCATTTGGCGGTGAGATGTAAATAACGCTGTCACTAGAGGGAGCTATGGTATAAAGATTTATTCTCCCTGTTTATTTCCCCCATTATGGGCATTTTTATATCCGTAATATAATAATGCCGCAATTAACAGACGGAACGGAATGGCTGAAAGAAAAAGGAATGATAAACATGGTTTGTTCTCAGAGAGAATTGTAAACCCCTAAAACATACTCAAAGCTAAATATACATCTTTACACGCGCTCCACGCGTAGACTAATATGTCATATATCTACACGGCGTGTAAGAAAAAAACAAAAGAAGGGTTTGGCATATAATATAGAGATTCTTCTGTGTTTCTGGAGAAGCCATGTTTAGGACTCCAGATTCAAACGGGCCAGATTTATTCACTCTATCCCTGAAGAGAATATATTCCACGAAAGGGAAACAGGTGAGGAAATATTCAATGAAAGGGAAACGGAAATTCACTAAATTTTCTCTACCTGAGGAATTCATATTCCGAAAAGGAAACGGCGTTATGTGGCTATAAGATGTAATATTTTCTGGGGGATGCTAAAAGAAAGCAATCTCTTTGTTTGGCTGCTGTAAAACGACTGAATGACTGGTCACTTTCGTCACTGTATTAGGTGATGTCTATAAGCGACAGGCACGTGACCCATGTGGCTATCTAGAGAAAAGGGAGATAATCGCCTTCTGTATACCTACAACGCTTTTCTTTACGTATAGTATCTGTTCTCTCTTTTGAAATATTGAATAATGAAATAACCTCTTAGGTGTCTTCAAAATATATTCAATATATATTATATCAGATCATTACAAGTGTTCGTGTCCAATATAAAATGGCCGAAATTTGATATTGGTGTTTGTTTTTTTTAAGCCAATTACTGCCGTGTTCGATACTGAAACCTTGTATCGCTCAGTTGCCTCAGATGAGGTATTATGTACATTATTTACATTATTCGGACTATTGGCCTCGTCTTTGTAGCCATATTTATTACAAAGTTTTGGCCGTTGTATGCTCCGGCCTTCTTCAGGTGGTTGAAATGTTGAACTCGACCCTTTATAACGCTCGCTGGGGTAGACTGTTCTAGTTCCACGTGCCATGTTTAAAGGATGGAAGTTATCAGTTATCTCCTGTTAATTTCCCTCTCCAAGTTCTCCACTGCCTTAAGCGGGTATTGAACTCACACTCTTTGGGTCCTGTCACTGGATCTAACTAACGCCTTTATCCAATGTGTCATGTGTCCTTGTGGAACTAGAACAGTCTACCCCAGTGAGCGAAATAAAGTGTTCAGTTCGACATTCCAACCACATGATGAAAGCCGGAGCGTAGAACGTCCGAAACGTTGTAATAAATATGACGACAAAGATGAGGCCAATAGTCTGAATAATCGAAATAATGTTCTTTATAATACCACAAAGAGAATAGATTTAAAATAAGATAAGGGCAATTATGAAAAGTCAGTAAGAGACAGAAAGAGACAATTAAAATTTTCTGGTCACATATAATGAGGAAAGAAGGCTTGGAGAATTTAGCACACACAGAGCGTATCGAAAGCAAGAAAAACATAGGAAATCGGCGCGCAATATTATTTTCTGCGGCTAGTGTGAAGGTTACCATTGCAGAAATTAGAATCGGAGGGCCGAGTTCAAATTTAGGTCTAGTCTCTTGTTTTCACTTTTACATTAATATATTTGGGAAATTCATATCATCTTTAACCAGCTAGGTTGGACTAAAATTTTTAACCTCGATTGGTGGCCAGTCTAGACGAAAGATATTTTTTTTATTCTAACCCGTGGTGACGCCAACGGGAAAGCACGCTGTTATATTTCACAAGAAGTTAAGGCAATTCATAGATAATAAAGAAAAGAGTCCGTGGAGAAATCACACTAAATTCTGACCGTTTATGCCAGTTAAAGAATTATTAATCTATTTCGACCTAATAGATGGATGCCTAAACAAAAATCAGATTCATGATGGAGCATATACTTCTGGGAGAAGCAAAGAAATAATTATTCGTGTGGAAAATGCTGAGGGAGAGAGAAAGATATGTTTAAGAAAAGTTCTAGTTATAAAAGTTGCATTATTTTCATAGATAATTAAGTTTCTTTTACATTTCAGTTTCATACAGAAATTAGCGATACAGTATATATGCAAATATTTATGCATATATAATTACTTTAGCCTCTTCTTGAGAAAATATGTTATTAAAAAGTTATTTTCTTTTGACAAACGTATTTAAGAAACGGAAGAAAAACAGTCAGAAACTC